TGAAGTAAAATGTCTTGAACGCCCTTCCAAAAGTGAAATATTGGTCTTGCGCCCCTTAAGTTGTAGAAACCTCCAATTTACTCCAAAACTTGTAGAATTCTCTTTATTGACTCCAAAAGATTGGAAAAACACTTGAAACAATTAAGATAGTTTGCAACCTATCCAATTGTGTAGCAATGGACTCAATCTTGAACACTTTGATCAAATAGGCCGTCCACTCATGAACCTAAATGACTCTTCTCACTAGCTTCGATCAATGATCTTCATGGAGCACACAGAGTCAAACTCTCTTGATACTCTTCAGCACTTATTTCCATGAGGTCTTCATCTCCTTTGGTTTGCACCCCAAAGTTAATGACATTCTCATCACCTTGATCATAGCTCTCTTGAACCAACTCCCTATCACATAGGTAGTCAACATCCATCTTTCTTCCTTGATTGGCCTGCAAAGTAAACTTGGCATTCCAAATCTAGAATGAAGGATTAACTCATTCCCCTCACTAGGAGAACCTCCATGGAAGGCTACATGATTCTCATCAGGGGGGTTGGGGAAAATTTTTGTTTTTGCAGATAAGTCCTCTTCCAAATTACGTCGTTTTGGGAAGAGGAGGTTATGGGAAAAAAAAAATTTTTTTTGTCTATTTATTAAAAGACTATTTCGCCCCAATTAAAAATATAATGTAACTGTGATGCAAGAATGATGTCACGTAACTACCGCCCGATCAATCAGATTGTAAGAAACTATTTTGTCAAGCGTAACTTTTATATAAGCTAATAAATGAGAAACCACTTATTAAAAGAGAAAAAAAAAAGCATGGGCACATTATGTCATCATTGTTTGCAGTTTTTATACTTTTGTGGGACAAGAAATATGCCGTATTACAGCTCTTAATAGTACGGTCTCTCATTGGGCCAATACCTCTTTATCAGCTAGTATATCAGGTGATGTATGTGCCATTACTAATCTGCATTTTTATGTGATGACAAATGATTTATTAAATAGCAAAAAATAATTTATATAATTTTTAATTTGAAAATAAGCACCAAGATTAATAAAAATAAACAAAAGATAATACATTAAAAATATAACATAAAAGGAAATAATTAGGAAGAGAAAAAAATGCTACAATAATTCAGCAGTAACAAGTAATAGACTTATTACCTATTTTTAGACTTTCATTTGTACTTCCATTTCAGATGTATTTAATTTATCAAAACTTCCTTTTTTTAGTTATCAAATATACTTAAACATTAAGTACTTAATTTATTAAGTTCTTAATCAATTGTAAGTTGTTACGTCAATAAATTAAGTACTTAATTAATTAAGTTTAAGTGTTGAATGAGTTTATCAAACAGAGCCTAAAAAATAATCTTTATAATCTGCAAAACCATCATTTTAATTAAAACCTATACAATAAACAGCAAACAAAATGATGTATGTTTAAGATAATCTTTATATTTGTGCTTTTTAAGATTGATGCAAAAAAATCTCTATTTCCTACATCTTTATCTCGACTACTCAGAGTGTGTAAAAACCTATGTTTAAGATGCTAACATTATTATACTTGAGTGGTTAACTAGCTGAAGTTGATCAACAAATTATATACGTATTGCTAGAGTGGTTAATTTGTCAATTAGTAAATAAAGAACAACTTTGTTATATTGAGAGTAAAATTTTATCAATTTCTTAAATTACTCTTATTATATATACATATCTGTTAGATTTATTTAATTTCTTTAGGATGAGATAAATTACTCTCATCAAACTATTTGATAGTGGCCCGCATCTTACTCTAACTAACTTTTGGTAAATTTGAAAAACTAATTTTATGACCTGAGGAAAACAGTTTGATTGTCCACACAAAACTAATTTTTCTGTTTTGCATCTTTATTTAATTTTTTATATATATCACTTTGACTTTGGGGCTGGTTACTTCTTATTGTTATCGATCGCCGCAAAATCACTTCTTATCAAAAATCTACAACCTACAAAATTCCATGCAATATGTTAATTTAGCTATAATTTTAGGGGCTCTTCACGAAACATGTAGTTGGAAGGAGAAATAATAAAAAAATGTTTAATTTTTTATTTATTTTTTGCTATGCTTTGTAATAAGGGAGAATGGAATTAGATAGAGGAGTATTAAATAGTGTAGAGAGATTAAACTTATCCCTTGGCAAAAATTAAGGATCAATGAAACTGAATTGGTAATTTGTTAAATTTCACCAGACCATTAGCTTTAGAATATTCACAAACTCAAGTGTTTTTTCCCGCCTATTCCTTTTTACAGTACATAGTGTATACATACATTCATTAGCGCTTCTATAACAACAATATACATTTTCAATATACAAACACTGATTTTTATCTACATTCCCAATCAAGGGCTTAAACCAAATGGCATTGAACTTTTAAAGTTCCTGATCATGGGGAACCAATTTAAATAGTACGACTTTTAACACAAGACATCGATTTATTGTTTTTCACAACACGAATGACGGTCTCCATGGGGAAAAAAAATGATATTCATCCAAATAGCAGATCACAATATTCTACAAATATTCGAAATCAAAATTTAGCATAACATGACCTGGTTGGTATTCTTGACTATTCAATCTACACATAAGAAACAGCAGACGTGAAATGTTTGTTTCGTTTTCTCAGTGTGTGTGTTTTAGGTATTTTTTATATTGAGAATGTAAAAATATATATTGGAAACGTAAAAAGGTATGTTGAGATGGGACAGTTAATAATATTTTAATTTAAAAACACCAGCAATAAAAGGAAAGAAACAAAGAGGATCAGCAGATGTGAACTGTGATTTCTCCTCGTAGTTGGGATCATTAGTCTCGAATCTCGATAGATACACCACGACACGAGGGTCTTGAGATCTTCTCGCTAGCAAAGCGAGAAGATCGAGCGAACTCCAAACCTTGATGACATTTTCATTTGAAGCAAAAACACGGCAACAGAGCCACCCGCACCAGGGACCAGCTAATTGGAGAACTCCTTCCAGATTCATTGTACCATCAAGAAGCTGAGTTTGTGAAGAATTCAAGATCAAAGCTAACACGTTGATGAACACAAATAATGCACAATGCTAAAATTTGATCCCACAGACACCTGGATTAACAAACATTCCAAACAATTTCAATACGAATATGATGATTCTATCAGCATCTTCATTATTGTAAGCAAATAAATCTCAATCTCTAATAATTTTTTTTTTTTTAAAAAAAAGCTGAAAGTCTGCAACCCCTGCCTGTAGAAAAATGAACAGGTTTTAAATCTGGTATAACAATCATTTGATAATGGGGGGGGGAACAGAATTTTCCAATCGTAGTCAATAATTCTAACAGCATCTTCAACATAAGCATAGATATATAGATTCTACGATCAGCTTCATCACCAATTTTGCCGAGGCAGCCTGGAGGAGTAAACTCCAATGCCCTTTGGTTCTCACATGTGACAAAGAGGTAGCTGATATGGAAAGTCTAGTGAACGAGGACATGCTGCAGTTTTCACCTTTATATAAAACAGTTTTCCTAAATCCTAAAGATACTCCAGATGCGCTTTTATTGATTTCTATGAGTACTTTATCCAAATGAATAAAAGAGGCAAAAAAAAAGATAATGCAGGGAGAGGATTGATCAACTAATGTTCCAGTGAGCTAATAGGGGAACTTTAGAAGAAGCATTTCCTCCAAAGGAAGGGTCATCAATCTCCACAAACTTCGCTGTTGAATTTCTCGCAGATTAAGCTGTTTAGAAAGTACCAGAATAGAGGTGTGTTACCATTAACCCTTTATGTAGAAGACAACAAATCTGCTGAAATAAAAATAATACAAAAGTTTTATACATGCTGATCTATTTAACAACTATGATGAAAATACCAGATGCTTATCTCTCTTAAATGTGATCCTTAAGACGAAATGAGAAGCTAAGACTGATGTAAGAAAAATTGGCACAATAATTTTGCACTTGCAGACAAAAGAAAACCATATAAAGAAAATGAAACCTTGCTCAAGCAAATAATGTAGGCTACAGAGAAATCATGATTCCAGTCAAACAGAATATATCTATCTGTAGCATTACCTCTAAATGCATAACTCAGTTGCAACATCTCGCCATTTACAAAGTAGAGTTTGGCAACTCCCGCCTCAGCCGAGTAGAGAATGAAAGTGTAGTTGAAATATCATCAACTTCAACACTCTCCTATTATAGATGAACAAGAGCCCTAACATTGAAAAGGCTGTCACTATTTACGGAAAGAAAAAAGAAAAAAGAAAAAAGAAAAAAAGAAAAGCCTGTCACCCAGAGCCTGAACAAGTTTGTTACTCTTTGTCCATAAGTCCATAACCATCATAAAAGGTCAATTCCATCTCAAAATAGAAGAGCAGCAGGCAGTAGCAGCTACTTCTTGACTGACAGCTTCTACATGAAATCTAGCCATCCTCTGTGAGCTGCAGAAGCAGGTAATGCAATAAACTCTCAGAGCATCCAAATGGAAAAAGGAAACTCTTCAAGGCCCAGTTCGATCCCTCATTGTTAACAGCTGCTGGTCCCAGCTTGCTAGATTAATACTAGTTATCCTGTGATGCATTCTTCTCAAAGCACGAGTGGCAAATGAAACAATTCATCAGACATCTATCTTTTTGATTTGTACGTATGTCTATGATGCCATTAATTCTGAATTGCACTTTGAAATATTAGCAACGACCAACAGCTATAAGCCCACTTCTAAAGCCTTTCACCCAAAAGCAACTATATCTTTCATCAACATTAACATCAGACATAACCAGTATATTATTCATCAACAAATGGGTTTAAATTCGGCCTTACCCATCAAATGGGAAAATTGAGCAAAGGTAAACCCCGTCATACATTAATTCAAACAGTTTAGGATAACAGTTCTTCTTCACCAGTATGTTTCAAATGCTCAAAAACACTGTCAACACAGGGTGCTTGTACTTTGAGACCTTTCTGCACCATTAGCTTTGCTAACTTAGGAGCTTCCAGTATATGTTTTTCTTCAGATAGAGTATATGTTTTTCTTCAGATAGAGCAACCAAAAGAACTGAATAGAGATCAGTATCAATAGTGACGCTTCCTGACATCTCGACTGCTTCATACAAGTGAAAAGCATCTCGAGGCCTTCCAGCTAAACAAAGCTGCCTCATAACAGTACTTGAAGCAGCACCATCAGGCCTAAATCCTCGAGCCAACATTTTCTTGAAAGCCATCTCTGACTCCTCAAGTTTTCCAATCTGCCAGAGGGAGAGTACAAGTGAGCTGTAACATTCATCATAAGAAACACTATCCCCAACAACTTAATCAATGACCTTACAGACCTCATCTATGTGCCCCTCTGAGCAAAGTCCCTTAATCAGAGCCCTCATTGTGATTCTATTTGGTTTGCATCCAAAGTCCCTCATTCGATCTAAAATTCTTAAGCCGTTCATAGACTGAACCTTCTCACAAAAATTCTGAATCAAAATTGTATCAGTAAGCACATTTGGCTTCGTATCCCCATCTTCTTTCTCCATCTCTGCCAGCATCTCAATTGCCCTTTCAAAAGTCCCAAACTTACAGAGACCATCGAGTAGGGCTGAATAAACAATCGAATTGGGCAAACAACCATGTCCTTTCATAGCTTTAATCAACCTGCAAGCATCCTCCAACCTACCTACATCACATAAACCCTTGATAACACAAATATACGTGATCATATCGGATAAAGGTCAATCAAACACATCTCTTCCAATCAATTTCAGAGACTCGTCAATCTCTCCCTTCTCCAGAAGCAACCTAATAACCAAATTATATGCAGTCATATCAGGCCTGCAATTAAACTCCTTCATTTTACTCAGAACCGAAAATCCCAAGTTTGCATCTTTAGCCTCTCTGCATATACTCAAAACTACCTTAAACATTTTCAAACTAACAGCACAATTTTCAACCCTATAGGCATCAATAACATCATTAACAATTTGCGGATTTTGCTTAATATCCAGCAAGTCACAAGCTTTACCATATACGTACGAAGTGTGTCTATACCTAGGTTGAAGACCAGCCCAAATGAAGAACCTAAGACCCAATAGATGTTTATCAACGGAACACCTTGTAAGATTTTGTTAATGCATTCTGCATCAAGGCGAATTTTGATTCTGTTGAGAGATGTTTCCATGTCGGACCCATTATTCAGCAAATGGGTCATAATCTCATCTGCTGAGGATACTGATTGGAGGCACAAAGAGAAACAATAATCAGGTCTTTTGGCAGCAGCCGATAACGAGACGGAGCGAGGAAGAATGAACATTGATCTTCTCTTCCAAAACAGGATTTCACCAATATAGCTGTATCAAATACACTGGCTGGAGCTTCAATAACTGCATCACAGGACAGCATAGTCAAGAACGGTTATTTTAACAAGAAAACTTAAACATGGCCAAATTTATAAATTATAATGTTCATGAGCTACTGAAGTATATACACAATTCAATCCCATTTCCACCCCTGAATCCAGAACTTTACCGATGAATTAATGTGAAAACCTAATCAGCATTACTTTCCCACAGGAATGTAAATTTGAACTCATAGATATATCTCTATTGAATTGTATAGCAGGCTCTTAAGATGTACTAGCTGTTGAGATATGATCCACACAACCAAACTCAACTAGTAAGTAAGGCTATCACAAAGCATTAACATTTAACAGAAACTAAAGTAAGAAAGAATTCATACATTTTCAACCCTTATTAAAAACAAAAGTAAAATAAGATGGATCTTACCAACAGAAACCTTCGAATTTAGGAAGAATCCAAAGTACTTCGAATGCCTGCCACTACAAGTTTGTTCGTGCGAAGATTCTTCTTCAGATAGAGGATGATTTTTCGATCACCCGATGAACTCCTTTTTGCAAGAACTGACCACAAACCAAACCGGCGCTGGTCAAACAAATTCCAAAATACCCAAACCAGCCGAACCCAGTAGAAAGTGGCGAATTTCAGGACTCGCCAATTTATAGCGTAACAGCAAAAAAGTTAATGTAAATCTCAAAAGAAACTGTATCTTTAGCAGTGAAATACTCCTTCCGATACTTAATATAAGATATTTTAATTTCGTCTTAGGTTTAATTTAGTACTTTAATTGATAAAAAAAAATTTACAAACATACCATAATAATTAACAGAATACAACGAATTTGAAATATATTTTTAAAATTTTTTCGTCGATTAAAAATATGTACCATGTGAAATCTAGGAACAAAATCAAAATGTCTTATATTTAAAGACCGAAGTGAAGTGAGTATGTAGCAGTTCGCCTAGTCATCATTTATGCCATTACCAACAAAATTAAATTGTCAGTAGAAAGAAAAAATATTCAATTTTAAAAAATTTCAAATGGTTTTCTTCGTCTACATTCTGCCTATTTATACTAATTCAACTTATATAAATTTATACTACTTCCATCCCATAATTATTGTCCACTTTGCTCAAAAAATTTTGTCTCAAAATTATTGTCCAATTTGACTTTTTATGAATCAAGTTACACATTTGTCTTTAGTAAAAAATATTATCCATAAAATCTTTGTGGTTAAAAAATTACTTATGTAAGAATACATCTGGTTGTTCAAGGTAAAATATAGTTAACTTTGATAAAAAATAAAATTTTTCATTTTAGTAAAACTGGACAATAATTATGGGACGGAGGGAGTATTTAAATTTGAAGTACAAATGTACTTGTAATTAATTATGAAATAATTTTTTTATCTCATGAGTAAACTGTAAAGTTTATTATCGAGTAACTTCAACAATTTTTTCATAATAATGATTAAATTATGCTAAAATTTTTATTCTTTACCCCGCCGAAACCAAATTAGAAGCTCTAAATTAGTAATAATGACTTTTATATTAAGTAAGATTTATGATATTTATAAATTTATAATTTATTACGGCATCATAATATCATGAAGTCAACCCGCGACAATTTTGTACACTCTTGACCCTTTGAGTCGATGTCCTGTTCGAGTCTAACTACACTAGTTTAAACCGGATTTCTCTTTTATGTCAACGTCAACAAAAAAAATAAATTTTTTTTTTTTTTGTAAATTATAACCATATTGAGTCTGCATCATAATTGACTATTAAGATGTAAATTCATTACAACGATATTTCTGTGTACTGTATGATATGATGTATCAATACATTATGGTCTCGTGCATTGTTGTGTTTAAGACTTTAAGTTGCTCCGATACCCTCATAAGGCGCAAAGTAAGAGAGTAATTGTTTTCGCTGAGCTTGATATCTTTGAAATTGATGATGGTGTGAGAACGAACAATCGTTGTACTCCCTCCGTCCCGTAATTATAATCCGGTTTTTGTTTTCATTTCTAATTCAAATTGTACTAAAAGTGAAATCTCAAACTGGATAATAATTTTGGGACAGAAGGAGTATTTTTTTTTAGTTAGGAAAGGCGAAGATTATTTAGTTTAATTTAATAGGGAATATGATTTGATTCGCAAGATGATATTATTTTAAAATTAATACAGATTTGATTCCTAGTGTGATATTAATATTAATATTTCGATTGTTTTGGATCAATTATGATCTCATTTGACACATATTAATGTTAATGTGTTCCATATATATATATATATATATATATATATATATCTATCTGTCCCAAAAACATAATTCACATTGAGTTTTGAATCGATAAATATTAATGTTAATGTGTTCCATATATTTGGTATTATATGATTATATCTCATAAGGGAGATTTGTATTATTTGGGGTCAAACATGATTTGACTGGATACATATAAATGTTAATGTGTAATTAATGTATATTGGTATTAATACATAAGTTTATTTTACAATTTCAGAAAGATATAAGATAATAATGAAAGGATTATTATACCACTACACAAAAATAATAAAGAATATCTAAGAAATACTACTATTCAATATGAAAGTGATTTTGGAGTATCGCGCATAAGTAAAATAATAATAATGCAACACTGGAATAGTTTCAAGTGAAGATGAAGATGATAATATTGGCCGTGTGGGTAGTTTTTTTTTATTTCCAACCATTGTATAATTTTGGAACAAGTGCCACATGTTGTAAGATTCAAAACGATACTGCAATAACAAACAGCAAAACGATTCACAATCGCAAAAAGAAAAAGAACAAATTCCTCAAGCATGGTTCCTTCTAAATTCTCAGCTTCAATGCTACACAATACTTTTCGCTGTCTTAGAAGGAAAGGCAAAATATCAAAGGTAGCTTCCCCCCATTTGCCCACTCTACCACAAAAATTTCACTAGACATCTTTGCTATGTACTCGGATCATCCAAATGAAGTCATCTGTTGAAAAGATTCAGTCACATAACTAATGAAGACAGAATTGGTAAAATAGAGGCTTAATTTTGAGAAGGCGGTAGCTCTTGCCATGGCACAACTTTCAACAAACTCGGTTACAGATAGTATGAGAGAGCGATTTAAGCTGTGTGTTCCACTTGTCCATTGCAGCATACTTTTTCATTCCCTTGGAACTGCAATTTGGCGCGTCGGGAAAAAGAACCAAAATAATATGAGAAACTAAAACAAATTCATCGCTTCAAAAAATGACAACTGAAATAAGCTAGAAGAAGAGTCTTCAACCTGTCACCACGCTCTAAAAGCCGATTCACTTGATCAATATGCCCGTGGATCCGATTGTCCAAGATAAGGGAAACTAACAAATCTTCAACATCCTTCTCTGGCACATTGAGCTCCTGAATAATCAAATCCAGTTTAGTTAAAAAAAAATGTAGGATAAACAAAGCAACATGCCAACAGGTCACATCTCGACTAAGCAAATAATTTTTGAATGTCATCAAATTGAAGGGTTTTTCACGTTTCTAGTCACTGTAAATTTCATGAAAACTAATCGAGAGTGCATTTAAATCACCACTAGATGGAAGTACTTGAAACAAATTAAATACCTAGATGAACATATTTAAAATTAGTATAACCTACAAAAAAAACAGATTCAACATCACCGAGAAGGATAAAATCGCAAACACACCCTAAACTTGCAAGCACACCAAGAAGGATCAAAAGCAAGGATCACAAGAGGACCAAGACAGCCAGGTAAAAGGGGCAAATTTTAAAGCATAAAAATCATCTTCAACAAACCCTAAAATTACATGCATATCTTACTCATCATCAGGTTCGCAGATTTGCATTGCAACTTAGATATATTCATTGTTGAAAAGAATCCTTAAACAACCCCCAAAAAAAAAAAAGAAGGAAAGAAAAACTGCAGATTTTCATGTTCACCTTTGATATGAACGGGATGCGGATCCTCGTATAAGGTTTAATAAGCTTAAGCAACACCTGGGTTCTGACATTCTTCAGAAGATCTTCAATGTAATTTCGGATGAAGGGATCATCCATAATGGTTCTCCTGTTACTCTGTGGAGGTTTCAGATACGAGTTGTGTCAATGAAATGAAAGAACATTGTAGAGCATTCATACAAAAACTTGGGAAGAAATAGTTCACCTTCAGAATTTTTTCAAACTCTAAAATCTCATTTCGTTGATATGCTGCTATCAGGTTCGTCATAGCCAATATTTCAGGGTCATTTTTATATCTGAAGAAAAGAGGGCAAGGAACGATAAACCCTATGTCCTACACAAGAAGCCCTATGAAACAATTAGAATAGTGGAATGCAGAAGAGCTAATCTTACGGTTTTGCTTCTTGACCATCAAAAGGGTTCACGAGAGATTCCATCAACATATTAGCAAGAACCAAATATCTGCAAGGAAACAAAACAACATGTAAGAAACAACCTACTGGCTATCCCAAATAACAATAACATATTGCAGGACTCAAGTTTAGACAACCAATTTCCCATATTAAGCTTGCTTCACAGTTATGCTTAAATAATTAGCACTCAAAATTCAATATAATCTCATTAATAACCATCTCTATTATCGTACGAAATAGTAACTCTTCAGCTATTTAATGTTCATCCAGTACTTTAACTCGTCCCCAACTACAAAAAGGACTATGATGACATCCATGGAATTAGATGCACATGTCCATAAAAATGGTGCAAAATCCATTGTATTACATTCTGTACAGGTACAGAAAGTGACTGCTCTGCACGGCGAATTTTGGTTCTTTTTTTTATTCTTTCACATGTTGCACCAACGAAAAACATAGATGAACAAAACGCTAGAATGGCGTGCATTAGATTTCGGAAAGAACTAGTACTTGAACTTCCTTAAATCATATTGACATGTGCAACACAGATTAAACAGAAGATAGAATATCAGCATACTTTTTAAGCATTACATTAAACAGAGGATATAATATGGGCATACTTTAAGCATTGAATTCGCCTCTGGTTTCCTGCTTCATCATAGTTTTTGAAAGCTTCAAAAAAGTCGGTGGCTGCTTCTGCCCACTGCCGCTCAGCCATATGCATTTTCCCACCACATTCCCGGATAATTCCCATAATTCTAGGATGAGGTATAGCTGATTTGATCGAAAGGGCTTTTAAGTATAGTTCCTGCAGTAGAAAATTTGCACATCAAAACCGGCAGATTGATTATACAAATAAGTTTCCATTCCCAGAGTCTCTAATCATGTCCAGGACTGCTATTAAATAGTCAATACACTCCACTAAATGGCCAAGCACAAATTAGTTGTTCAGAGGTTGAAGAGCCTACTCTTGACAAAGTTTCAGCAACATCAGACAAGAAGTGATATAAAAACTATAACATATACTAAATACATAAAACCAAGTAGATGTGCACAAACCTTGAGCTTTTTGTTGTTCTTAGTCTCAGTGTACATCTGAATTTCGATGGCATACACCTCCAATAGCTGTGTTCCTTTCTTCTGGTCATCTGAGCCATCTTCTTTTTGACAAGATTTATGAAGTTCCTTCAAAATCTAATATAAATATAACAGGATTATTCGTGTACGAAATATAAACATATGCACATATACAAACAAACTAAGCTAATGTTTGCTTCCTCAAAAGTTACCTTGCTCATTCTACCATATTCACCCATATCAAACCATATCTTACAAAGCTTCAGATTTGTCTTGAACCATAGCCTCTGCATCAAAGAATAATTACTACAATTTCTTGAACAGCGGAGTCACCCTCTATAAAGTCAAAAGATGAACATTTAATCTACCTCATTTTTTGCTTCTTCGAGTGCTCTCAAAGTGGTCTGATAAAACTCTTGCAACAGACTGAAATTCTGGCTTGCAGATCCAGAGACAAAATCCATAATGTTGTTAATGCACTTTTCACTGTAGTTTCGTGTTACGGCAGATTTGATATAAGTAAGCATGTCTCTGTAAGCATCCATCATTTCCTTATACTTCCCAAGTTTATAGTAGAGTTTAACAGTTTGCTTTAAAGCCTTGAATCCCCTGCAGACAATAAGACGAAGTTTTTCTTAGTGAAATTTATGTCAAAGTGACATAAATTCATGATTGCAAGTAACGGGTAGTGACCACAACAGGTCAAAAAAGGCACATAAACTCCCCACTCGCTGAAACTCTAGTATCTCAACTGCTTTAGCAGATATAGAAAATACAGAAAGAGAACAGCATTTGGAAACAAAAAACTAATTCAGCAAATTACGCAGGCAACAAAAAATCAGTGTATCATCCTAAGTGGATTTTCAGTTCAACAAAGAAAAAGCAGACTGCCTATGAAAATCTTTAACAACATCTGCACAAATGCAGCTTGGAAGTTTCAGGCCGAACCAAACGGATGCTAGAATGCAAAAGATAATAGCCCATAGTATTAATAAACACCATCAGACCCTCACATATGCATTCTCTTTGTGTTAAGGTAGCCAATAAGGGTTTTATCCTTTTACAGCAGGTTGCTTCATTGGTCTTTACGAACATAATTATAATAACTTTTAAGAGATCAACCATCGGAAGAAAAATATCAAAGATGTGAGTATCACAAGGTCTGAAAAGTAAGATACTGATAATGTAAACAAGGCAATGACATTAATATAAGCACAGAAATCACCAGCAGCAAAATGCACTTCTTACCCTAAAGCACTTTTCCTATCCTATATAGATACTTTTACTCAGGAGATTAAATTATACAACTTTAAATTAATGTGGATCCTAACTAAAAACTAACCATTCAGCCTTCTCAGGTTCCATGCGAACTACTTCTGCAAAACCCTCAAGTGCTGCTTCAGGATCCGTTTCAACCAAGCCTATATGTACAAAAGAAACGTCAAAAAACCTCAAAGTTAATCAGGAGCGCAACAGAATCAGCTCAAAATTCATAACCTGAAACAGATAGGAACATTTCAGCAACAGTGAATGAAAATAAGTGAAACTAAAATGGATATATGGAAGGTCATAATGGCGGGCATGATTATGTCTCAATTCCAACACACACAGCAAAAGGAACTATAAGGGAAATACAAAGCTTCACTTTTGGTAAATAGTCTGGTCTTTTTTGCCTTTATAATCTACGCGATGTCACAAAGAAAAGCCTATAGAATGATATTATCACATCTGTACAAGGAATCAGCCATATTTTTCCCAGTCCTCTTTCAGAATGCCTAATGTAAGATGGATAACAAACTTTTAAAAATAATAACAATAAGATTTCACATCAAAATTCCTCATACACTGGTCCCATCATCCCAAAATTAAAATCTAAAGATTCTGAACTGCCCGAAAATTTAATCAAATAATTAGCTATATGAAACCCTATGAGTAGTAAGGGGGAAAAAAAAAGGAGAGAAGGAAGAACCCTAAAACAAAAACGTACATAAAAACTTGAAACCGAGAACAATAGTAACAAGGGCAAGTAAACAAGCTCCACTAAAAATGTTGAAACAAAAAGGAAAAGAAAAAAAAAAAAAACCTTTAGAGTTGTAATACTGATTCTCAATATCAACATCCTGTTCTTCAGGCTCCTCGTCGGAGTACTCGAACCCGTAATCCTCCATGTCCGCATCTACAAATCCCACAGAAAAAAAAATCCATAAACAATTTAACATGAAACTGTGAGCACAAAACATCAAACAACGGTTATCGAACGAGAAAACCCCAGGACAAAAACAAAAAAAAAAAACAAAGAAAAAGAAAAACGACGAACTAGAGCCACACCGAAAAAGTGCAGAGCATCGTGATTGTGAGAGAAAGATCCTTACCAGAACCCATGACTTCTTCAAGTTGAAGATGGAAGAGCAGAAGAAGGATTATTTCACGGCAAAGTTTGGGAGATTTTGATTTTTTTCGTTAGAAAGGGTGTAGAGCAGAGGGACTGTAGAACTAATATACAACTCTTTTAAGTGTCTATTAAACGGATCCTTAAATAGGTTCGGGTTAGCTTACACCGATAGATCCATTATCTAATGGGCCTGATCCAATATTGGGTTATAAGGCCTTCAACTAAGAGGCAATGTTACACATATATGTATTTAATAAAAATTAGTGCTTAATATTGAACACTTTAATTTTTTTTAAAATAAAAATGTTAAATGCGTTGGAGACATGGAGTAGAAGGGAGGTGTTCAAACATGGAACAACCTTTTGTCACAATCAGAAATTTAGGAACTGAGAATTGGAAAATGTTGTGGAACGAAAAAAAAATTTAAGATAGAAAATCAAAAAAAAAAAAAAAAACAGAGAACGAAAGATAGAATTGAGAGGGGAAAATTAGATTTGCTATTAATCTATTTTCCGGGTATTACAACAATTTCAACTATATTTACTAATCAGTTCAGCTGACTAATAATAGTAAAAATACGACATAATAATATATTTTTATTTGTTTTCATTTTGATCAGGAGGTAATGACAAATCATCCCCTAAAAGAAGTCTTGTCCTCGAGAATTGTGCTCAAAACATATTTCTATCAAAAGTTGTAAAGTCTATACTTGGGTGACTTGAGGTATAACCTAATAAGAAAACTTCATTTGATATAATGTTGAACAAATTTGCATTCTACTTGGTCATTAGTTGCTGCAAGATCATTCAAAAATATTGTTCCCCTTCTAAATATTGCTACACTTTTGTCCCAACCAAAAAATAAATGTGTTGCAACTATAAATTATGTTGTCTTAAAAAAAAACTCACTTTCATGGCTTCTTTGTAGCAATTTGCTCAAGATTGTTCAATGCTCTCAGGAGTAAATACTGATCATTTTTTTCATGAAGCTTACTCTTCTAAATCAACACCTTAGTCCAACTATAATTCACTGGTATCACTTTCAGCACCAAAGATTCTTGAAACTTTCCACAAATGCCAAGAACATAAGTTCCAGAAATACAAACTATGTACTAGGTTATTATTCAATTTCTCCCATCCGCTCTCCTCAACACTCAAACCAAATTGAGTAAACACACCCTTCCATGGAACTTTCAATCAATGGCTGAAAGAAACAATCTACAAAATACTAATTAAAAGTGGAAATTGGACATGAATTGATGTTGCAAATGGGATGTTGGTTCAATAATTAAATCATCTCTAGTCTCAAGGGGAGGTCATGGCTTTAATTCTCACTCCAACAAGAATGAGAGGTGGTTCTGCCATTGTTTATTGACAAGTCTAAAAGGCTTGTTATGACAAACCCACACATGAACTTCCGATTTTGCACTCGAGTTTGTAATTCCACACTTGCTTACAGGGGTTATCTCCCACTATAGTTTGCAGGCTATTGCAATGGGTATGAGTTATCATGTCTGGTGAGGTGGTTCCCGATATTATTAAAAAAAAAAAAAGAATTTATTTGTCACTGAAGTATAATTGGTTGCCAAAACAAAACTTTCAATCCTATGTTTATTAGCATCCTTTGGAAACTTTCTTATAACACCCATAAACACTTCAAAAAATATGTGCGCTACTTCCACAATGCATCATGCAATCTTCCAAACAAAGTTCACTTCATCAATTAATATCATAACTTTAACATTATGTTCATACAGAACTATTACTAACCTGCACGTTGTGTGGATGATATAATATATTATATATAAGTTTATTAATTTAAAAAAAATCACTTCGAAAGAGAGTTGTAAAGTTAGGAAGAAAATACTACTACTAATAATTGAGTGTAGTCTTTAATCTATTTCACTTTGTATCCTGCTATAATTTTTTTTTTCATGTGTATACGTATATAATTTGGTTTTTTTTTTGTAGGTTTTTTTAAAGTGTTTTAGGATATTTTTTTTTTTTAAAGAGCAATGATACACATAATGATAATTCATAGTGAAATAGATAGCAACAAATAAAAAAAAATCACACAAATCTCTCACTAACTACCAATATAATAAGGGCGATTATGTATTTATATATGTGCCAAATCAGTCACTATTCTATTTCACTGTACATTTTCACTATATATATATATATATACTAGTGATGTCTGGTCGCGCATATATATATATATATATATATATATACTAGTGATGTCTGGTCGCGCAATGCGCGACCCTGGCCCAGTATATCTATAGATCTTAGAAATGTTTGTATTTGAAAAAATATATTTTGCATTTGGCCCGATATATTTTAAAAATGTTTGAAGAATTTAGAAATGTTTTATAAGTATGATCATAAAAACGTTTGTATTTGGTAAAAAAAGAAATTGTATTTAACCCGGTACGTTTTAGAAATGTTTGAAGATTTTAGAAATGTTTTATAAGTGTTACTTATTAAATATAATAAACTTGATCAAATATATGTCTTGAAGTAAATGTTAGACAAAATATAAAAGCATCCTAATAAGTTTAAATATTAGTAAGATGTTTTATTGATGTTCTCCATTTGTCGTGCCGAATCAATACTTAGTTTTGGAGATTTATAATAGCTTTGTAGTAAGCTTCCTCCGAAAGGTATACGTTCAATTGTTGGAACTGTTTCTTCCAAAGATTTATAGGTAGTAAAATATAAAAATATGATTTTGAAACTGGTTAATTGTTGAAACTTGTTGATCACAAATATGAAAATGAAAATTAATGTAAATTTGCATAGGTTTCAAGTTATAGCAAAAAAGAACTCACCTCACAATGGCAAATAAAAAAAAAGTAAGCAAAAGAGCCATTAAAAATTGAGAAATTATTTTTTTTTCCTGTAGGTAAAAATGATGTATAAAAACACAAACAAACATAGAAACATCATTCCTTTCCTCTCCACCTCAAATTCATAAAATGCTTCCCCATAAATTAGTTAGAAGAAGCGACCTGAACTATTTATATGATGAGTAACTCAAAAAAGTCCAAAAACCAAATCCAAAAAAGTATATTCTTGAAAGTCCGAACACAAAAAAAAAAAAAAACAAAGCGCTTCATTTGCAAAAAAAATAAAATAATAATAATAATAATAATAATAATAATAATAATTGGTCAACTGGGAGTATGAAACAAAATAAAAAACAACTAAACAAAGAAAAAACACAATTCATAACTGACCATATACGAAAAAAAACTGAGACTCCATAATTAAAAAAAAAAAACACTCTAATTGAATAAACATAAAAAAGAAATTAAAAAAATCACACTTTGTAACAAAAACCCAATTGATCAATTCAATCCAAAATGAACTAAAATCATACAAAAATTCTAGGCTAACTAACCATATAAGATATCACATCATATTACCTGGCAACGGCTACGGTAGCTGTAACGGGTGGACGCATAAAAATAATAGTAATAACACTATTCTTGAACGGGAAAAATAAAAAATAATAAAAGCCGTACAAATGATCTGTGGATATAAAATCATTTGAATTTTAATATCTGTAATGGCACCACCACAACGGCCGAAGCAAGATCAATGAGAATTTTTTTTTTTTTTCCCTTTGTGTTTACATAGAAAGGTAAAGAGAATATTTTTTGAAGTCAAAATTTGATCCGATTAGGATGTAGTTGATCATAACTAATGAAAAGATTGAACATGCTAATAGGAAAGGAGTATATTTCACCACTTATTCTCAATTGATGATTGATGCGGAATTTGTTTTGTATTTTTTTTAATTATGGAGAAAGAATTGATTAGGGAGTCGATTGTCGTGGAGATGGGGATGAGGATTTGGGTTTTTTATGAAGCTGTGGTTTTTTTTTTTAGCGAAAATAGGAGGTAGAGGTGGATTTGGACTGCATTTGCCTTTTAAGTCCAGGAAACTGATGTGTAAATAAAAATTTATTTTAAAAATATGATGTGAAAATGCCACATGGCAAATGGTGGTGCTTTCTCTTGAGTGTGGTTTTGTTTCTAGTATAGTAAGATATATAATTTTCCCTTAATGAATTCAACGTTCCAAATTACAAAGTATCCTAACTTAAATTACGAATTTTTTCCTTAAATATATGTAAAAAAAAACCTAGACAAAAATAAAACTTTTTAAAACCTTGTGGACAAATTTATATGCCCCGGATTTAGGAAATCCGAATGGGGGGAAAACTCGGATTTCGGAAATCCGACCCCAACTAAACTCGGATTATTAAAATCCGACTTTGTATTACGTAAATCTGAAATTAAGTTAATGACAAAAATTAGTGTAATTAATCGAAATCCGGATTTTATAAATCCGATTTTATGAATAAAATATTAATTTCGGATACTATAAAAAATGTGTTGAAAAATTAAATTGGGCGAACTCGGATTACGAAATCCGAATCTGCTCTGTTTTCTGAAAAATGGTGACTCCCAGTTGGCCACGGACTCGGATTTCCGAAATCCGAATCCTTTAGAAAAAGTCTGGGTTCGGATTTCGCAAATCCGAGTCTTTGTCAGAACTGAAAAAAAAATTGGACTGATTTTCACCAGTCCTAAACATGTTTACAGCACCAACAACAATGAAACATTGGAAAATAGGAATTTAATAACAACAAAACAATAAACGGCATTCAATTAACAACAAAATAAATCAAGTTTCATAAAAAGTTCAATACAAAAACTACAATAAATGTCCAAAATAATGAAATGTCTCATTTTTTCCCTTTTCCTTTATTGTGCGCATCCGGAGTGTATTTGTTTGGGCCCTGTCGGATCCTGTCTCCCCTCTTAAGATATGTGAGTATTGAACTTTGGTGTGGTTGCGACTGTCCACCAAACTGAGCCTCGATTTGGGGTTGAGATTGGGACTCCCCCATGGTGATAAATTTGACTCCCGGTTGTGGTTGCGACTGTCCACCAAACTGAGTCTCAGGTCCACCAATGTCAAACTGAGTCTCGGGTCCACCAATGTCAAACTGAGTCTCGGGTCCACCAGCTTCTTCAAAATGAGTCTCGACCTGGATGCGCGAGCCTCGAGAGGAATGTGCTTGATCCTCATT